AAAACAGATTTTTTTTGAACAAAGAATTGATTTTCAGTAATAATCCTTTTCAAAAGTGACGAAAAGAAATCTTTATATGGATGTCTACAACAAAATTTTATGTTTTTTTTTATAAGAAGTGTAAACTTAAAACAGAAAATTTGCATCTTTAACAAAAAAAAATGTTAGTAACCATTTAAAAGTTCACATTCTCAACTTTAATCCATTATTGGCAAAGACTCAGATTTGAAAGAAATAAAACTTAAAACTTAAAGCACTTAATAAATTTTCAACTGTTGAAAAATAAAAAAAAAGATGATAAGGACTTATTTTTTTCTTATTTCTTCTAATTTTAAAAAGGCTTCAGTGAATTTTTAAATTAAAAACTTTTTTTTTCATTTTATATCTAATTCTCTATTTAAATATCGCCAACTTTATTTTTGTTGCTATATTATTAAGCTCAATATTTAAACTGTAATTATATTTTAATAAATAAAGCAACTGTAGCACTCACAAAACTTTTATTATGATGTCTGACAATATTTAAAGTCTTAAAATATCATAAAATCAGCTTAATGGCCATGAAATAATTGCCAAAATATTACGAAATTAATCCTTGTTTATTCACATGTCGACATAAAAGTTCATAATAATAATAAGAGTATTAATATACGTAAAAGGCAGTCTCAAGTATACAAATCAACACTCAAAAATTCACGCGACCATATATAATCCTAATGACTAAACAGTTGGATTGGCTCTTCAGTCCTTCAGTGCTTACTCACGTTTGCACAAAATGAACTAAGCTCTTGTAACAAATGAACATTTCCTAAAATCCGATTTATTTGAAGGTTACAAATACAATATGAACAGGACGAGAAAAGATACACATAAAAAATAAATATCTAATAACCACATAAAAGCATTATAACAGAAACATGGTAAATGCCTTATATCCTGCCACTGGTGGCTCAGCAATTGAACGCAGTCTATCAAACCTTTCCTAGCTCTCGGTCATTTTTATGTAACACATTTTGTTGCTTTTAATAACACAAAAAAAAAATAGAGGAGACAATGAAAAAAAACAAAACTAGATTAAACCAAAAAGATATATTTCAACCATTTTACTGCAGAGAAAAAAATTATTAAAAAAAAAATCATAATAAATAAAAATATTTAGAAAATGAAACGTTTAATGTAGTTACTATAGAGTTGAGGAGTCCTTAGTGTTACGGCACGCACCCTTTAGATGTGTGTACTCGTATTGTGTAATCATAAACTAAGACACAAAAGCACTAATAAACTAAATACACCCTTTTACGTTTATTCTCATATGTTGAACATTTTCATATGGCCAGTGCCATCCTACAACGCTCCTTGCCCTTTTTCGTGTTTAACTATTTTATTGCTATTGGAATCGCTACGGTTTTTTATGCATTCAGAAGGATGTTATCCTTTTTACGCTTGCTGTTTGTAGTGTTGACACATAAAATACTTTTATGCTCTGTAATACAGTAATGACCCTCATATTGTGGTCCATTGTGTATCATTCATGCAACACTTTGCCGTCTTCCTTCCCTTTGCGGTGTCATTCAACTCTGCACAGTTCAATTTTCATACACATAAGGAGCGTTAAAATTTTCATTAAGGACATCAATAAAAAAAAACAAAAACAAAATACCGAAATAATGTTTGTCAACAAGTGCAATGTGTTTTTATATCCTTAAAATGCGTAAAATTACTTGTGAAATGAAAATTTACTGTAATTTAAATTTTATTATGCAGAAATTTTTATATGCGCGTTTTTTTTAAGAAAATTTATTCATAAAAAAATTGAGTTATTTAAATATTATAAAACATTATTTACACTTATCTTCCCAAAGGACTTTGAGTCTGTATTATTTATTAATTTTTTAAAGAAAACATAAAAAAACCCCGATAAACAGAAAATTAAAAATTAAAGTTACGATATTTGAAGAAATATGTATCGAATAAGTTTAGTTTAGATTCAAGGCTGAATCTGCGACAGATTCGACGAAGAGCGCCTATTGGTTTAGTTTCTTGAACAAAGTTCTTGAAAAGTGGAGTTACTTATTTTAATAAATGTGTAACAATTAAGTTTAGGTTAACGGGTGCGTTTGCGACAGATCTAACGAAGAGCGCCTATAGGTTTAAGGTTCTTGGACAAAGTTTTTAAAAACTGAAGTTTCTTATTTCAGGATATATGTAACAATTAAGTTTAGGTTAACGGGTGCGTTTGGTTTAAGGTTCTTGGACAAAGTTTTTAAAAACTGAAGTTTCTTATTTCAGGATATATGTAACAATTAAGTTTAGGTTAACCGGTGCATTTGCGACAGATTCGACAGATACCACGCATAATGTCTATGGGTCGATGGCTCTTAAACATATAGAAAACTAAAGTTGCGATATTTCAAAAAATATACAAAAATTTGGGTCGGCTTTGATTTAAAGATGAAACTATAACAGATTCCTTATAAAACGCCTACGGGCCCAAGGACCTTATTTTAAGATGGATTTCTTCCTAAGGATTTGTTTTCTAGAGAATTTCCATATATAATATGCATATTTTTGTTTTAAGAGCTGTCTGTATTTGTTAAATCGATTTATTTTCTTTGAAAATTTTGTAAGGCTAAATGGTAGCTATATACTTAAGTAAGAATTTAGACATATTGTTATTGATTTTTTTTCTGAAAATGTTTATAACAATTGTTATTTTGCATCTGTTCTCTTGCATCTGTTAGATAAATACTACAATTAGCTATAAGTCATAGTCGTAGGACTTTTTAGAAATGATATTCAGACTTTATACAATGTAGATAGATGACCTGATTACTACATGGTCTACATCAGCATCAAATTATACTCAACAGCAAACTACGGTATAACCAGACAGAAAAATAATATAAATGAAATAGTAATTCCAAAAAATTTATCCACCCATTTAAATATTATATTTATATATAATTTATATTATATTAAATACAAAAATAATTATATATTTTATACGTATATAAATTTTAAATTATTATATTTTTTAGTTTTGCTCAATGATAGTTTATTTACAATAATGACATGAGAGAAATTAGAATATAAAAAAAAAAATTAAAAAAAATTAACTTACCTGTTAGTTGAACAAATTGGCCAAATATATAGAAGTATTTTTTTTCTCTTGTTTATAATAAATATTAAAAAAAATTATTTAAATTGATCATATTTTTTTTTTTGCAAATAATAAATAATAATTAAAGTAAAAAAAAATTGAAAGTAGAAACAAACAAACATTTTCATTTAAGCAAACACTTTCACTTTTCTTAAAACAACAACTGTCATCTAATTTTAAGAACAAATAAAATTTATTAGCAGCGCTGTAAAGTATCTGTATTTTTACAGACTTTATTCTAATAACAGCGCTGCTCGCGTCATAACAAATGCAATTTCCAAATCATTATTCCATATTGTTTGCAAGACAGCGGCTTTGCATTGCTGTTTTCTACTGCTGTAATAACAGCGCTGCTTGCGTCAATGTAACTGCAATTAGCGGTTCTTGTTATTGTTTTACACGCATATTTACTACGGCTTTTGTTACTTTGTATATTTTGGAATACGATTAAAGTTTTCTGTTTTATTTTTAAGCAAAATGTTTTAATTATTTTTAAATAAAAAATTTTGCACAATAATTTTTAATATTTTTAACACTGATATAAGTAAAATATTTTATATTATTATTATTATTAACATACACACATACTTATGGATATTATGTTTACTCTGTATTTCAAAAGGCTGTATAAAACCTCAATTACCATTAAAAATGCACTAGCAAATTATTCTCAATTAAAACTTATTTTTTTAAAAAAAATTTGATTGTTTATATAGTTTAAATATTGTTATTTGTTTATAAATAAATTAATACTACACCTTAAAAATAATAAAACAAATATTTTCTTGCAAAAACCGAACCGTTTAAAGCCGTGTCATAAACCGAACTACTCTCTACTTTAGCCAAATTTTTTTATCTGGATAGTTTAACGGTTCCTTCTCATTTGCTGTTAATGAACTTTATCCACGTCACATTCATCGTTCATTTTGCACAATATTGAAGGTGGTGAAGATCGAGAAATTATGACGACATTATTTAAATTATTATAATTGAACTAGGTATATTGTGAAATGTACATAAATACGTCAAAAGTCAATGATCACAATGATTAAATTAAATAAATTACCCTTCGAATTACTATTTGCTTCTCCAACCACCTTTCTTTGCAGATCTAACCTTAGTTACGACTGGTTTTTATAGATATCAATAAGATTCTCCAAGCAAAGAAATTTAGTTCCAATGAAGAAGTAATTTTTGTAAGGCATCGAAAAGTAATAGAAGTATTGAAATGAATATGAAAAAAATTAAAAAAATAATTCTATATATTTTGAATCATTTGAAACAAACTTTATTTGACCTAATCACCCTTGGTCCTTAGTTATAGAACCTAGTCATGATGGGAATAAAAGCACTAAGCCAACTCTTTAGCTGCATTTACAGTGACCATTGTTTTCTCTAAATTGTCTCCCTCTATATAGCGGCAATTTGGTTAGTGAAGTAATGAGTGCAGCGAAACCTTTCATATATGTATGTTATAACATATAAGGTTATGTGTAGGGTTTGGAGCCTACCACTTTCAATGAAAACGAAAAGAAATTTTTGCATTGGGCAACACCAAATCACTGATCAGACTGGCTGAAACACACAGCTGTATATGTAATTAGTTAATTTAAAAGAGGTTTTTCAAACAGTAGTGAACTACAACAACAAAAATTAATTTTATATTATTTTCATTAATTGATTTTTTTTTATTAATTTCGAATTAACTTAACTTTATTCATTTTTTAACTTAACTGATAATTATTAATACTCAGTTTTAGAAATTTCTGATTATTTGAATTTTAAATTATGTACATAAATTTATTTGGAAAAAAATAAATATAGAAATAGAATAAAAATTTTGAAATTAAAAATATGTTTCCAAAATTTTTCCGAGAAAATTAACAACAATAGTAAATGAAATTGGCTCAATAATGGAAGATTATAACACAGAGGTAAATTAAGATAATTTTAATAAGTAAGAACAGAATATTAACTAAAGACTGACATAGAATACCAAAAATGGGTTTTATAAAGAAGAGTTTGTGGAAGATTCTAAAATCACCATTGATGGCGGAGAACGAATTCAAAAGATTGTAAAAAATATTTAAGAATTAATTTAGAATTTTATATGCAAGAATTTTGTTAATATTTAAAACACGTAGGCTACTGACGATAATGCTTCTGAAGATAATGCTTCTGAAGATAATATGGAAATTGGCATCTGTACCAGCGAAGTTATTCATGAAACTGAACAATATGTATTTAAAAAACGTAAAGAGGAATATTTGCCTGAGGTAATTGACTGATTATTGAATAATTTAAGTAAATATTGTTAAGGGTATTATTTTCAATTTAAAAATAAGTTTACGCAACAAAGTTTTTCAAGCCTACAAGATATGAATTTTAGAGTTAAGGTAAGAAATGTTTTTCTGTATAAAAACTATTAGATATATGGAATAAATTTCTGTTTACATAGGCTGGTGAAAATAAGACTGTTCTTGAACGCTTCAGTGATCATTCTCAACTTAAAAGAGAACAATATATACCCAATGTAAATATTATATGTATCCATTTGAGATAGTAATTTATATCCACTTTCAAGACATCCATACTACAATACAATACTAATTTAGTGAAAATTAAATGCAATAATATTTATAATTGGGTTAAATCGAAATATTTCAGTTATATAATATCTGAATTAAATTGTTAATTAAATCTAATTAATTGAGCTTAGATGTAGTGTTTTACGACATTTTATATAACCATTTAAGATGTATTTAAATAATTAAGCTTTTTGTATACATATTTGAAAATTATATGTGTTGTGATCAATTTGTTCATCTAATCGTAAATATATATTTAAATTATAAAAAAACTTCAATAAAATGCTAACTTATCTATCAGAACGAATTTGATAATACTCATACTAAGAATGAAGCTGAAGAATTAAATAAAGATTTCATGGTATGTAAAGACAATATAATGAGGAAAAAAGTAGAATTATGGTTTGATGAGGTATATTTCAGCATTATTTTT